ATGTCAGCTCACTGCAACCTCCGCCTCCCGGGTTCAAGTGATTCTCCTGCCTCAGCCTCCCGAGTAGCTGGGATTACAGATGTGCACCACCACGCCTGGCTAACTTTTTGTACTTTTGGTAGAGATGGTGTTTCACTATGTTGGCCAGGCTGGTCTCGAACTCCTGGCCTCAAGTGACCTGCCTGCCTTGGCCTCTCAATTTTCTTTTTTTTTTTTTTGAGACAGGTCTGTTGCCTGGCTGGAGTGCAGTGTCACGATCATAGCTTACCATATCCTTGAACTCCTGGGCTCAAGCGAACCTCCTCCTCCTGCCTTAGCCTCCTGAGTAGCTGGGACTAGAAGTCCACATCACCACGCTTGGCTAATTTTTTTTTTTTTAATAGAGATGGAGTCTTGCTACGTTGCCCAGGCTGGTCTCAAACTCCTGCCTCGGCCTCCCATAGGTTGCGATTATAGGCATGAGCCACTGTGCCTGGCCTCCTGCCTCCTTATTATTCTTTTTTTTTTTTTTTTTTTTGACGGAGTCTTGCTCTGTCGCCCAGGCTGGAGTGCAGTGGTGTAATCACTGCTCACTGCAGCCTCAAACTCCTAGGCTCAAGCAATCCTCCCATCTCAGCCTCCTGAGTAGCTGGGACTACAGGCATGCACCACCATGCCTGACAATTTTTTTTATTTTGTAGAGATGGGGTCTCACTATGTTGGCCAGGCTGGTCTCTAATTCCTGGGCTCAAGTGGTTCTCCTTCCTCAGCCTCCCAAAGTGCTGGGATTATAGGAATGAGCCACAGTGCCCTGCCTGAGTACGGATCCTGAGTGTAGTAGACCTGGGTTTGACTCTGGGTTATTTCCCTTGCTTCCTTGTTGACCTTGGGCATATTATTTGATGTAAGCCTAGTGTTTCTCTCCATCTGCTTAAAAATTAAAGTTATAACATGGTCTGTTTTAAAAGCCAACTGAATTCAAGGATGTGAAAGAATTTGGTAGCCTCAACTGAGCTGTACAAAGAGAGGCTACTCTTTTTTCCTCTGGCCTCACATCCACAGATGGCAGCCAGACAGGACATGTATTAGTCTCTAGGCTCACTCTCCACCCGTGTGACCTTGGGAAAGTCACTTAACTTCCTACAGCATCAGTCTCCTCATCTGTGGGAAGGGAATGTGAGCAAGGGAAATGAAATGCAAAGCTCCTGGATCAGACGGGTGCAGTGGCTCACTCCTGTAATCCCAGCAATTTGGGAGGATGAGGGCAGGAGGGTTGCTTGAGGCCAGGAGTTCTAGAGACCAGCCTGGGCAACATAGCAAGACCCTGTCTCTACAGAAAATTCAAAAATTAGCTGGGTTTGGTGGTCAGCACCTATGGTCCCAGCTACTTGGGAGGCTGTGGTGGGAGGATTATTTGAGCCCAGGAATTTCAGGCTGCAATCAGTTGTGATCGCGCCACTGCCCTCCAGCCTGGGCGACACAGTGAGATTCTCTTTATTTAAAAAATGCTCCTGGATCAATACATGTGACATGCAAAATGCTTGGTAAATGAAATTCTTCTTAAAAGTGCATCTTTGGCCAGGCTTGGTGGCTCATGCCTGTAATCCCAGCACTTTGGGAGGCTGAGGTGGGAGGATCACTTGAGCTCAGGAGTTCGAGACCAGCCTGAGCAACATGGTGAAACCTTGTCCCTACAAAACACATACACAAAAATTAGCTGGGTGTGATGGTGCATGCCTGTAGTCCTAGCTACTTGGGAGGCTGAGGCAGGAAGATCGATTGAGGCAGAAGGATCATTTGAGCCTGGCAGGCAGAAGTTGCAGCGAGCCGAGATCATACCATTGCATTCCAGCCTGGGCAACACGGCGAGACTCTGTCTCAAAATAAATATATAGATAAAAATTTTTTAAAGTGTAGCTTTCTCTCGAGATAGTGGAGAAAGTGGTTTATGGCTGGGCCCACAGTCCTAAGTAGCAAGATAGGGAGGGCAAGCCTCAGGATGCTCTAGACACCCCCTCACACCCCTCCCTACCCCACTGCCCACAGCTGAGTCAATGTCAGTTTCCCGCAAAGGACAAAAGGGAAGGAAATGAGGCCGCTCCATTTGCTCTCTGACTGGATCCATTTCCTCCCCCAAGATTGTGGGTGTGTCTGTCTGTCATCCAGCCTCTGCAGCGACCGCTCTTCTCAGAGGGTCCTTCTTACTGCTGAAGGGCCTGGACTGTCAGGAAGGCAGGCTCCCAGGTGGGGATGGAAATGTTTGCAGCAGGAATCTCCAACTCCGGTACTTTGACTCACTCTGGGCTTCGGGACTAGGACACCTACGGAGCACATCTGTTCAACCCAAATTCTACCAATAAGTCTTTCAGATTGTCTCCTTGCTGGTGGAATTTGAATAAGTTCTGTAGATAGCATCAATGTCAAGTTCCTGGTTTTGATATTGCACTGCAGTTATGCAAGATGTTTCTATTGGAGGAAACAGAGAGGAAGAGTCCATGAGACCTCCCTGTTCACTTTTTCAAACCCCTGTGAATCTTCATTTTTTTTTTTTTTTTTTAGAAGGAGTCTCGCTCTGTCGCCCAGGCTGGAGTGCAGTGGCCGGATCTCAGCTCACTGCAAGCTCCGCCTCCCGGGTTTACGCCATTCTCCTGCCTCAGCCTTCCGAGTAGCTGGGACTACAGGCGCCCGCCACCTCGCCCGGCTAGTTTTTTGTATTTTTTAGTAGAGACGGGGTTTCACCGTGTTAGCCAGGATGGTCTCGATCTCCTGACCTCGTGATCCACCCGTCTCGGCCTCCCAAAGTGCTGGGATTACAGGCTTGAGCCACCGCGCCCGGCCTTCATTTTTTTTTTGGCCGGGGGGACAGGGTCTCACTCTGTTGCTCAGGCTGCAGTGCAGTGGCACAATCACAGCCCACTATAGCCTCGACCTCCCAGACTCAGGTGATTCTGCCACCTCAGCCTGCCAGTTAGCTGGGACTATGGGCACGTGTCACCATGTCTAATTTTTTTTTTTTTTTTTTTTGAGACAGAATCTCACTCTGTCACCCCAGCTGGAGTGCAGTGGAGCAATCTTGGCTCACTGCAACCTCTGCCTCCCAGGTTCAAGTGATTCTCCTGCCTCAGCCTCCCGAGTAGCTAGGATTACAGGTGCGCACTACTATGCCTGGCTAATTTTTGTATTTTTAGTAGAGACGGGGTTTCACCATGTTAGCCAGGCTGGTCTCGAACTCCTGACTTCAGGTGATCTGCCTGCCTCGGCCTCCCAAAGTGCTGGGATTACAGGCGTGAGCCACCACGTCCGGCCTTAAAAGAAGTTTCTATGAAAAAAACTCCTGGTCTGGGCCAAGCGTGGTGGCTCACATCTGTAATCCCAACACTTTTGAGAGGCCGAGGCGGGCAGATCACAAGGTCAGGAGTTGGAAACCAGCCTGGCCAACATAGTGAAACCCTGTCTCTACTAAAAAATACAAAAAATTAGCCAGGCATGGTGGCGGGCGCCCATAATCCCAGCTACTCAGGAGGCTGAGGCAAGAGAATCGCTTGAACCCGGGAGGCAGAGGTTGCAGTGAGCAGAGATCACGCCACTGCACCCAGCCTGGGCGGCAGTGCGACAAGATGTCTCAAAAAAATAAGAAATAACAATAATCTCCGGGCTCAGCATGGTGGCTCATGCCTGTAATCGCAGCACTTTGGGAGGCCAAAGCAGGTGGATCACCTGAGGTCAGGAGTTCGAGATCAGCCTGGCCAACATGGCAAAACCCCCGTCTCTATAAAAAACACAAAAATTAGCAGGGCGTGGTGGCGCACTCTTGTAGTCCCAGTTACTCTGGAGGCTAAGGCAGAAGAATCTCTTGCACTCGGGAGGCGGAGGTGGCAGTGAGCCGAGACGCGTCACTGCACTCCAGCCTGAGCAACAGAATGAGACTCCGTCTCAAAAGTAAATAAATAAATGAAATGTTTTCTATTTAAAATTCTCCCTTTTAACTTTCCACTTGCCAGGCCATCTCCATATCCAGGTCCCCGTCACCTCCCTCTCGGATCCTTGAAGTCACTGCCGGTTTTCTGTATTTGGTCTTTTCACACAAGGGTCCATCCAGGGAATCATCAGACACAGCTTTTGCCCCACCTCTCCCTGTAATGAGCAGCTTGTTGGGTGGAGTCAGCGCTCAACGTCCCCCAGACCTTTCCACCCCTCTCGCATTTCCCACATCCCAGCTTCTCAGGTCTTTGCAGAGGCTGTTCCACACCACGCACCTGGCCTACTCTTCCCCCTTCTCCACCAGCAGTAAAAGTAAAAGCCCGTCTCATCTTTCGCTGATGCTGAGTTTCCTGTTCGTTAAATGGTAATAATAATCCCCGCCCGCTTCCTTGAGAGGATCCAGTGTGGTGATGGCTGGAATAACGCCTTTAATAAACAATTATCAGTGAGTTCCTCAGGAGGAGGCGTGAACAGGGGTTGCAAATCCCGCCTTCCTCCGCCCTCCGCGGTTCTGCAACCTCAACCGCCAGGCGACCCGCCCCTCGAAACGTACCAAGTAATCGGGCCTCGCCCCTCGAGATGTTCTACCTCCGGGCCCCGCCCCTCGAGACGCTCTACCTCCGGGTTCTGCCCCTTGAGACGCGCTAACAACCCAGCCCCGCCCCTCGAGACGCTCTAACTCCAGGCTCCGCCTCTCGAGGCGCTCTAATAACTAGGCTCCGCGCTTGGAGATACTCTAACTCCAGGCCCCGCCCCTGGAGACGTTCTCTAACTCCAGGCCCCGCCCCTCGAGACGCTCTAACCCAGGCTCTGTCCCTCCAGGCGCTCTAACAACCGGGTCCCGCCCCTCGAGACGCTCTACCTCTGGGTTAGGCCCCTCGAGACGCTCTAACCCAGGCTCCGCCCCTCGAGGCGCTTTAATAACCAGGTTCCTCTCCTCGAGACGCTCTAACGGCCAGGCTCCGCCTTCAAGGAGCTCTAACAATCAGGCCCCGCCCCTCGAGGCGCTCTAACAGTCAGGCCCCGCCCCTCTAGCGCCCCAACAGCTGGGCCCCACCCGTTGAGACGCTCTAACGGCCAGGCCCCGCCCTGAAGGCATTATAACAACCAGGCTCCGCCCCCAGGCGCTCTAACGGCCAGGCCCCGCCGCTCGAGGCGCCCCAACGGCCAGGCCCCGCCCCCGCGTGCGTGCGCGACTCCGCAGAGCCGTGCGGGCGCCCGCGTACTCACTGGCTGAGGTGGCAGTGGCCCCGCCAACATGGAGCTCTCGCAGATGCCGGAGTTCATGGGGCTGTCGGTGTTGCTTGGGCTGCTGGCCCTGATGGCGACCGCGGCGGTAGCGCGGGGGTGGCTGCGCGCGGAGGAGAGGAGCGGCAGGCCCGCCTGTAAGTGGGGCCGGGTCGGGTGGGGGCGGCCCGCGTGACCTCCTCGTGGTCCGACCTGTGGTTTGGGCCCGCGGCTGTTGGGGCTCGGCGACTCCATGGGCCTCAGTTTCTCCTCTGGTGACGTGAGCTTCGCTTCCAGAGACGAGGGCCCGCCTCGCCGGGCTAGGCGCACCCCCTGGGGCAGGACTGGCTCCAACCTGGGCCCTGCGCTGCGACTTTCACCATGGCCGAGGCTAGGCCGTCCCCGGGGTGGCCAGGAGAGCACCGTAAACTCTTCAGCGATCTCAGAAAAAGCACCAATTCTGTGATGTGCAGCAGCATTTGCTGGGCATCTATGACCCTGTGATAGGCTTTGGGGTCTTTTTCTGTAAGGAGTCCAGTAAAGGAGAAGTACATCTGCATGATGAACACCTAAACATGTAAGTGGAAAACAGTGAAATAAGTTTCATTGAGGCCAGGCGCGGTGGCTCACGCCTGTATTCCCAGGACTTTGGGAGGCCGAGGCAGGGAGATCGCTTGAGCCCAGGAGTTTGAGACCAGCCTGAGCAACATAGCAAGACTCCATCTCTACGAAAAATTAGCTGGGTGTGGTTGTGCACGCCCCTGTAGTCCCAGCTCCATGGGAGGCCGAGGCAGGAGGGTGGCGTGAGTCCAGGAGTTCAAGGCTGCAATGAGCTGTGATCAATCGCGCCACTGCACTCCAGCCCAGGTGACAGCAAGAGCCTGTCTCTGAAAAGTTTCATAGAAGAGGTTAGTACTGGAAACGGGAAACACCAGAGAGGGAATGGGCAGCCCTGCTCTTTTGATGTTTGAGACAGTTTCGCTCTTCTTGCCCAGGCTGGAGTACAGTGGCAGGATCTTGGCTCACTGCAACCTCCGCCTCCCGGATTCCAGCAATTCTTCTGCCTCTGCCTCCCGAGTAGCTGGGACTACAGGCACACACCACCAGGCCTGAGGAATTTTTGTATATTTAGTAGACACGGGATTTCGCCACGTTGGTCAGACTGGTCTCGAACTCCTGACCTCAGGTGATCCACTCGTCCTGGCCTCCAAAAGTGCTGGGATTACAGGTGTGAACTGCTGTGCCCAGCCAGCCCTGCTCCTTTTTTTTTTTTTTTTTTTTGAGACGGAGTCTTGCTCTGCCTCCCAGGCTGGAGTGCAGTGGCGCGATCTTGGCTCACTGCGAGTTCCGCCTCCCAGGCTCATGCCATTCTCCTGCCTCAGCCTCCTGAGTAGCTGGGACTACAAGCGTCCACCACCACGCCCGGCTAATTTTTTGTATTTTTTAGTAGAGACGGGGTTTCACCATGTTAGCCAGGATGGTCTCAATCTCCTGACCTCATGATCTGCCTGCCTTGGCCTCCCAAAGTGCTGGGATTATAGGCATGAACCACTGTTCCCCACCCAGCCCTGCTCTTTTACTGGGGAGGTGGTTGTTAGAGAAATCATTACTGAGAATAGGGGCACATGAGGTAGTGTGGGGTCTCAAAGGATGGTTCTAGAATAAGAGTTTGCCACAAAGCCAAGGAAAAAAGACATTCCTGCCAATGGCAATACCCGAGCAGGCAAGGAGTCCCCAAACAGCATTTGGTATGACTTAAGTGTGAGGAGGGGGGCTTGTTAGACAAGCCTGGAGAGAAGGAAGCAGAGGACAGATTGTGGCTCTGTTTGTATGCAGGGCTCAGGAGCTTTTTTCCTGTTGGAATTGGGGAGCATCTGCAGTCATTTAACACATGCTAGCTTTGTGACTCAATTAAGTATCTTATGCAAAAGTGACTGGCTCCACTCTCCAGCACAGGGCTCAACAGATGTTGACTTCTCCACCCCGAGTTCTTTTGGGTGCTGGAGTGCAGTGACGCAATCTGGGCTCACTGCAACCTCCACCTCCCGGGTTCAAGCGATTCTCCTGCCTCAGCCTCCTAAGTAGCTGGGATTGCAGGCGCCTGCCACTGCGGCTTCCAGATGAGCCTTGGTTTCTAAACCCTAGAGAGAAACTAAAGAAGTCAAAGCAATGGGTATCTTACCTTTTGAGGAGTTTTATAAGATTTCTCCTGAGCTCAAGCAATCCTCCCACCTCAGCCTCCCAAAGTGCTGGGATTACAGGCGTGAGCCACTACGCCCAGCCTCCATAAAGCCTTTAATACTTGTGTTTGGTACTTTTGCTTGTCATTTTGTAGATATCTCATCCAATTCAATCTCCCTTATTTTTATTTATTTATATCTTTTTTGAGACAGAATCTCATTCCGTTCCCCAGGCCGGAATACAGTGGCGTGATCACTGCATTCGAACTCCTGGGCTCAAGCAATTTTCCCTCCTCAGCCTCCGAATAGCTGGGACCACAGGCGCATGCCACCATTCCCAGCTAATTAAAGTTTTCTGTAGAGACGGGGTGTCACTCTGTTAACCAGGCTGGTCTCCAACTCCTGAGCTCAAGCAATCCTCCCACCTCAGCCTCCCAAAGTGCTGGGATCACAGGCATGAGCCACCGTGCCCAGCTCTCAACTTCTCTTTAAGAAAACCAAGGTTGGGCCAGACACAGTGGCTCACACCTATAATCCCAGCACCTTGGGAGGCCAAGGCAGGCAGATCACTTGAGGTGAGGAGTTGGAGACCAGCCTTGCCATCATGGTGAAACACCATCTCTACTAAAAAAAAACAAAAAATTAGATGGGTATGGTGGTGCACGCCCATAATTCCAGCTACTTGGGAGGCTGAGGCAGGAGAATTGCTTGAACCCGGGAGGCAGAGGCTACAGTGAGCAGAGATCATGCCACTGCACTCCAGCCTGGGTGACAGAGCAAGACTCTATCTCCAAAAAAAAGAAAGAAAGAAAAGAAGAAAAAAAAAAAAAAACCAAGGTCCAGAACAATTCACTAACTTGCCCAAAGCAGGGCCACTAGAGACAGTTGTGCACATTATTCCCTACGTAGGGATGTCTGGCCAAGGATCCACGCTCCACTGGCCGTGCTGTGTACCCACCCAGCAGCATTATCCTACCCAGAGAGTATGCCTTTTCCACTTTACATGAAGGTGCTGTCTCCTCAAAGTCAGTCAGTATTAGAGACGGAATCCAAACCCAGGTCTGATTGCAAAGCATCTGTTTTGCTTTTGTTTTCTGTTTGACAGGGTCTCACTCTGTCACTCAGGATGGCGTGCAGTAGTAGTGTTGTGATCATAGCTCACTGCAGCCTCGAACTCCTGGGCTCAAGTGATCCTCCTGCCTCAGCCTCCCAAAGCGTTGGGATTACAGGCATGAGCCACCATACCCAGCCAGCCAAGCCTCTGTTTTTGCCCATATCACACTCACTCTCCTCCTGAAGACAAGGGCCATGTCCGGTTAATCTCCTGCTGTTCCACTCAGTGCCTGGCTAATCATAGATGGGCAGCGAATGCTTATCAGTGAGTAACTGGAGAACAACATGGCCCTTCCTTATAGGCCAAAAAGCAAATGGATTTCCACCTGACAAATCCTCAGGATCCAAGAAGCAGAAACAGTATCAGCGGATTCGGAAGGAGAAGCCTCAACAACACAACTTCACCCACCGCCTCCTGGCTGCAGCTCTGAAGGTACGCGGGGTACCCAGCGCAGTGCGCACTCTGAGACTCAGACCCACAGGCTTTTCCTCTGTAGTATTCCGTGCATGTTATAGACCCTCCTGCCTCTGATCAGAATCAGCGGGGATGCTTAATTCTGTCCCCTCTCATCGCAGCCCAACCTCAGCTTGCTGTTAATCCAGGCAACGGGGCCCCATCTCCCTGGTTCCAGGTTTGGCTTCCCCATCACCCCAAGGAGCTCCTATTCACACTTCCTGCCACCCTTTCCCTAGAGCCACAGCGGGAACATATCTTGCATGGACTTTAGCAGCAATGGCAAATACCTGGCCACCTGTGCAGATGATCGCACCATCCGCATCTGGAGCACCAAGGACTTTCTGCAGCGAGAGCACCGCAGCATGAGAGCCAACGTGGAGCTGGACCATGCCACCCTGGTGCGCTTCAGCCCTGACTGCAGGTGGGACAGGATGGAGCCTCAGGTTTGCCTGAAGAGGCCCAGTCCCAGGCATTGGCCTTCCCATATCTGCTTTGAGGTGGCGAGGAGGGACCCGGACCCAGGGCCTCCCTTGGGGTGCCAGAAAGAGCATCCACATAGTTTGCACGCTGCCTGGGGCTCCCTGGAGGTCTGTGCTGCTATACAGCAAGGAAACGGGGGGAGGTCTTTTCCTACCTGGAAATAACTTGGCCTGGCTTCCAGATGAGCCTTGGTTTCTAAACCCTAGAGAGAAACTAAAGAAGTCAAAGCAATGGGTATCTTACCTTTTGAGGAGTTTTATAAGATTTGGAACCAGGGGCTTATGTTGTAAGGCTAGACTGTGGGGCATGAGGGGAGATCTTGACTTCCCCCAGAACCCAGCACAGGACCAGGAACACAGAGCCTCTTTGTCTAGTGAGAGAGTGACTTGTCTGCTACCTGTCTCTAGAGCCTTCATCGTCTGGCTGGCCAACGGGGACACCCTCCGTGTCTTCAAGATGACCAAGCGGGAGGATGGGGGCTATACCTTCACAGCCACCCCAGAGGACTTCCCTAAAAAGCACAAGGCGCCTGTCATCGACGTTGGCATTGCTAACACAGGTAAGATGCATTCAGAGGGTGGCGCCTGCCCAAAGCGTGAAGGAAAGATCCAGTTCTGTTTCCTCAATGAGTTAATGCTGCCTGAAAGTTCTGCTCAACCTGAGAGGGACAGGGGGCCCTGGCTCTAAACAGCCTGGCTGTGTGCTCCCCTGGAGTCCCTGGGCCACACCAGGTCCCTAGGGAAGGCGGGGAAGGGCCACAGTCTTCAGCAGAGTCCTTGTCTGTAGTGACCCTTGGCCTGGGAGGAGACATGTATACTTCGGGCAGCAGAGGCCTTGTAAGTGTCTTTGGAGAATGACAGTTGGTCAGGTCACTGCCCGTGGCCCACATCACTCCCTTCCCGCTCAGGGAAGTTTATCATGACTGCCTCCAGTGACACCACTGTCCTCATCTGGAGCCTGAAGGGTCAAGTGCTGTCTACCATCAACACCAACCAGATGAACAACACACATGCTGCTGTATCTCCCTGTGGCAGGTGGGCAAAGAGGGGCATTGGCATCTGGGACCACAAGAGGCTGGGACTGGGGAGCAGGCCCAGAACAGAGAGTCAGCTTCATCGCTTGGGAAGAGCATACGGGGTGGGGTCAGGAGCCCGAGCTTCAAGTCTCAGTTCTCCCCGCTTGGAGTAGCGGGATTTCATGCAGGTCACCCCATGTCCTTAGTCACTATTGCTTCATCTTTAGTGTTTTTGTTTTTGAGAAAATTAGTCTCACTCTGTCACCCAGGCTGGAGCACAGTGGTGCGATCATAGCTCACTGCAGCCTCAAACTCCTGGATTTAGTGATCCTCCCACCTCAGCATCTTGAGTAGCTGGAACTTTAGGCACATGCCACTGTACTCAGCTAATTTTTGGTTTTTGTTTGTTTGTTTGTTGAGACAGGGTTTCACCCTCGCCCAGGCAGGAGTGCAGTGGTGCGATCACAGCTCACTGTAGCCTTGACCTCCCAGACTCAGGCCATCCTCCCACCTTATCCTCCCGAGTAGCTGGGACTACAGGCGCACACTACCACACCTGGCTAATTTTTGTATTTTTTGTTGAGGTGGGGTCTCACTATGTTGCCCAGGCTGGTCCTGAACTCCTGGCCTCAAGTGATCCTCTTGCCTCGACCTCCCAAAGTGCTAGAATTACAGGCATGAGCCACTGCACCAAGCCACTTTGTGGGGGATGTTACATGTCTTAAAACAAGGCTAGAGGATAAACCGAGGTCACATACATAAAAGAACCTTTTTTTTTTTTTTTTTTTTTGAGTTTTTTTGTCGCTCTGTCGCCCAGGCTGGAGTGCAGTGGCCGGATCTCAGCTCACTGCAAGGTCCGCCTTCCAGGTTCACGCCATTCTCCTGCCTCAGCCTCCCAAGTAGCTGGGATTACAGGCGCCCGCCACCTCGCCCAGCTAGTTTTTTGTATTTTTTAGTAGAGACAGGGTTTCACCGTGATAGCCAGGATGGTCTCGATCTCCTGACCTTGTGATCCGCCCGTCTTGGCCTCCCAAAGTGCTGGGATTACAGGCTTGAGCCACCGCGCCAGGCCAAAAGAACTTTTTTGTTGTTGTTGTTCGTTAGTTTTTTGAGATGGAGTTTCGCTCATGTTGCTTAGGCTGGAGTGCAATGGCACGATCTTGGCTCACTGCAACCTCCACCTCCCAGGTTCAAGTGATTCTCCTGCCTCAGCCTGCCCCAAGTAGCTGGGATTACAGGCATGCACCACTACACCCAGCTAATTTTTTATTTTTAGTAGAGGCGAGGTTTCTCCATGTTGGTCAGGCTGGTCTCAAACTCCCGACGTCAAGCGATCCGCCTGCCTGGGCCTCCCAAAGTGCTGGGATTACAGGTGTGAGCCACCGCACATGGCCTTTTTTGTTTTTTGTTTTTTTCTGAGATGGAGTCTTGCTCTGTTGCCCAGGCTGGAGTGCAGTGGTACAATCTCAGCTCACTGCAACCTCCACCTGCCAGGTTCAAGTGATTCTCCCACCTCAGCCTTCCCAGTAGGTGGGACTATAGGCACGTGCCACCACGCCTGGCTAATTTTGTATTTTTAGTAGAGATGAGGTTTCGCCATGTTGGCCAGGCTGGTCTCCGAACTCCTGACCTTAGGTGATCCACCCACCTCGGCCTCCCAAAATGCTGGGATTACAGGCATGAGCCACCATGCCCAGCCAAAATAACTCTTTAAAGGTTTGTATTATCCAGATATGAGGTTATCAACTTTCTCAGGAAAGAGATTGAGGGGGTTTACAGGAACAACATGCTCCCAAAATGAAGTTTTAAAGGCTCCTGGATTGTATGGCAGATTTGTAGCTTCGTGTGGCTTCACCCCGGATGTGAAGGTTTGGGAAGTCTGCTTTGGAAAGAAGGGGGAGTTCCAGGAGGTGGTGCGAGCCTTCGAACTCAAGGGCCACTCCGCGGCTGTGCGCTCATTTGCTTTCTCCAACGACTCGCGGAGGTGAGTGAGTCTGCTCACATGTCTGTCTGACCAGTGGCTCTTGACCTCTCTCGACAACCAGGGTCCTTCTGCCTGTTTGTGCCATGGCTCTGAAGCGGGTGGGATGCCTGGCCCTCAGCAGGAAGCTGACTTAGCTTCCTAGCTGGAGCTGCTCAAGTTGGGCCAGTACTTACCCTGCCAGGGTATGTTGGGGCATGAGCTGTGATTTTCTGTGCTGCAGGATGGCTTCTGTCTCCAAGGATGGTACATGGAAACTGTGGGACACAGATGTGGAATACAAGAAGCAGCAGGACCCCTACTTGCTGAGGACAGGCCGCTTTGAAGAGGCGGCGGGCGCCGCACCGTGCCGCCTGGCCCTCTCCCCCGATGCCCAGGTCTTGGCCTTGGCCAGTGGCAGCAGTATTCATCTCTACAATACCCGGCGGGGCGAGAAAGAGGAGTGCTTTGAGCGGGTCCATGGTGAGTGTATCACCGACTTGTCCTTTGACATCACTGGCCGCTTTCTGGCATCCTGTGGGGACCGGGCTGTGCGGCTCTTTCACAATACTCCTGGCCACCGGGCCATTGTGGAGGAGATGCAGGGCCACCTGAAGCGGGCCTCCACCGACAGTACCCGCCAGAGGCTGCAGCAGAAGCTGACCCAGGCCCAAGAGACCCTGAAGAGCCTGGGTGCCCTGAAGAAGTGACTCTGGGAGGGCCCAGCGCAGAGGATTGAGGAGGAGGGATCTGGCCTCCTCCCAGCGCTGCTGCCACCTTTCCTCCCAGGTGGAAGCCTTTCAGAAGCAGTCTCCTGGTTTTCTTACTGGTGGCCTCGCTTCTTCCCATTGAAACTACTCTTGTCTACTTAGATCTCTTCTTGCTGGCTGTGACTCCTCCCCGACTAGTGACCAAGGTGCTTTTCTTCCCCCCAGGCCCAGTGGGTAGAATCTATTCCCACCCGGCGCTGAGGAGAGTGGTAGAGAGAGGAGACAGAGAGAGAACATGATTTTTGGCCTTGTGGCAGCACATCCTCACACCCAAAGAAGTCTGTAAATGTTCCAGAACAACCTAGAGAACACTTGAGTACTAAGCAGCAATTTTGCAAGGATGGGAGACTGGGATAGCTTCCTATCACAGAATTGTGCTCCATCAAAAAGATACTAAGGGATTTCCTTCTGGGCCTCAGTTCTGTTTGTAAGATGGAGAATAATGCTCTCTGTGACCTCCTTGCAAAGATGATGTGAGGCTAAGAGAGTATCAAGTCCCTAGGTGTAGAAGAAAAGTGGAAAAGAGTAGTACTATTGTCCAGTGCCATTAAAGTGGTAAAAGTGGGAACCAGTGTGCTTCAAAACCAAATTAGAAACACATTCCTTGGGAAGGCAAAGTTTTTTGGGACTTGATCATACATTTTGTATGGTTGGGAGTCCTCTCTTCGGGAGATTATATCCTGTTTAAGGAGACCTCTTTTCAGTTCATCAGATATTTGAGTGCCTACTCTGTGCCCAAATAAATACGTGCTGGAGATTAAATATGAATAAGACATGATTTCTGCCATCAAAGATGGCTGGTGGGAGAGAGAGAGACGCCCTTATTAAGTGCTTTGTGTAGTTTATTCATAGCTACTGTTGTATACGTCAAGGAAAGAGAGGACCAGAGCAGGACAGAGGCAATGGGTATTGAAGTTGAAGGGGTACATTCGATAAGAGATTCGGTATTGAGAAGTTTAAATTTGTGAATTTGAAGGCTGGATGTGGCAGATAAGGGAAATGAGGTATCTGGGAAGACTTGAGTGTAGGCAAAATTTATTCATCCCAAGTCAAACTCTTGGTCTCTCTCATGAAAACTACGACCTCCCCTGGTCGCCCCTGACCTCTCACCTCTCAATGTTGGAACAAGCCATAGTCTTGGAGTTATCCTTGATGACTCACCACTCATTATCCCCTCTGTCCCACCACCACTGCCGTCGTCTGTCCACCAGAACATCCTTTTGGTTACACTCCAGGTGACATCCTGAGGCTGTTGCTTCTCTCCATCTTTTCTGTTACCATCCTGGTTCTGGCCACTGTCACCTAGTGGGCCACTATAATATGGCTTCCTAATGGATCTTCCTGCTTCCTCTGTTACCTCATTACTTTTCTATATAGCAGAGTGATCTTTTGAAAATGTGAACCAGATCACATTATTCCCTAGTTAAAACCCCCCAAGGCTTCCCATCACACTTGGGATAAAATCCAAAATAATTTTTTTTCTAAACCAAAAATAGTAAAAACAATTTTTTTTTTTTTTTTTTTTTTTTTTTTAAAAGTTAGAGTCTCACTGTGTTGCCCATGCTGGAGTACAGTGGCACAGTCTTGGCTCACTACAACTGCTGCCTCCCAGGTTCAAGTGATTCTCCTGCCTCAGCCTCCAGAGTAGCTGGGATTACAGGCATGCGCCACCACACCTGACTAATTTTTGTCCTTTTAGTAAAGACAGGGTTTCATGATGTTGGCCAGGCTGGTCTCGAACTCCTGACTTCAAGTAATCCACCCTCCTTGGCCTCCTCAAGTGCTGGGATTACAGGCGTGAGCCATCGTGCCCAGCCAAAAACACTTTTTTAATCCAAAACTCTTACCATGGCCTGCAAGGTCCTATGTAACCGGGCTTCGTCCCCCATCTAAATGCTGTGGACGTCAGATGGGTACCGTAACTCTGTGAATGGGGTCAGTTACCTGGGTGTAGGGCAGTAGAAAGTGGGGACAGAAGTGAGCTGGAGGGCTTGTGTCCTGCCCGTGGGGTGGGGGGTGGCTGCTACTTATTTAGGAATCCAGCAGAAATTGTCTGCTTTACAGAAGCTAGAAGTGAGCAACTTAAATAAATAAATGAATAAACAAACACTATCTGGACCAAACAAAACACCAAGGTAGGCCTGATGCAGTCCAGCACTCTTCTTATTGGCAGCTTCTAGCTCACTGTTGAACCCACTGGAATGAGAGCACCACCGGGCAGACTCCTGGACCGTCTCACTATCAGCTCTGTGGTCCAGGCACAGTACCTGGGACAGTGTAAGCACTCAATCAATGTGAAACTCAAGGCAGGGGCAAGCCACAGACCTCCCAGTATCTTCTCTGTGCATCTTTCCACTCGCAGTCTCCATTGTGGTTTTGTATGTTCCTAACCACAGACTGCTGGCAATGCTGTGCACATAAGGCCTGAGGAGTATTTCCTCGGCAATTGTCGGAAGAATGAGACTAAAATACTTCCTTTGCACACCTGTTCTTAGAAGCAGCTCTGGCATTACTCCCCTTGTGTATGCAGGACAGGAAGTGGCGGTAGAATGTTGTTACTGAAGTCAGATGTCTTAAGTTCCAGTTCCAGCTGGGTCACCTGTTGACTTGAGAGCAGGTAGATCTGTTGAACTCTCTGAGCTTGTTTCCTCATCTGTAAAATGAGAATGAATCCTATGCTGCCCACCTTGCCGTGTTGAGTTTCAGTGAGACAAGAGAAAACACTACCAAAAAATCATTCCACAGACTTCTGAGAACAGAAAGTACCCTCACTCAAGCTTCTCTTGTAAACACAGAGAAGGTGTCTGGATATTAACATAGAGCAGAGGCTACCAATTTTTGTTTGTTTTAAATCAAAAATCCTGCATGTGAAGGCAGTATTCATGTCATAATTACAATTTCAACATCTGTGGGTGTGAAGTTTTTCAAAATAAAGAGTTGGGGAAATATTTTAAATGGTGGTGTATAGCCTATTTTGGTGTTCTGTTTGTTTTAGAGATGGAGTCTCACTCCGTCATCTAGACTGGAGTGCAGTGGTGCCATCATGGCTCACTGCAGCCTCGACCTCCTGGGCTCAAGTGATCCTCTCACCTCAGCCTCCCAAGTAGCTAGGATCACAGGCGTATGCCATCACACCTGTCTGTTTTGTGTAGAGATGGGGGTCTCACTATGTTGCCCAGCCTGGGGCTTGCAGTCATTTAAACCATGCAATACACAGATTAAGATGGTGGTGCCATCTCAACAGTGGCCTGCTGCTTCCCAGGGAGTCTTCCTTCCTCAGTGCAATCCACCCTCCTTCTGGCTACTTTCCTGGGAGTTGGATGCAAGTGGGTCTTCCACCACCTGCATCCAACACTCGGGTGCATCAGGGAAACCAACTCTCTAATTTGCTTAGCTGTGATAACTTGAAGCCCTGGATAGTGTCTTGCATACGGACATGTTTTCACAATTATTGCTACTCCAGTAAAGTCACATTTCAGAGACTGACATCTTGGGAAAGGCACAAAAAGTTTTTTTTTCTGTGTTATCTGTGTTTTCTACAATTAATGTGCAGTTCCTATGTAATGTTCATTGCCGCACTATTCAGAATAGCAAAGACATGGAATCAACCCAAGTGACCATCAATGATAGACTGGATAAAGAAAATGTGGTACATATATACCACGGAATACTGTGCAGCCAGAAAAAGGAACAAGATCATGTCCTTTGCAGGGACATGGAAGGAGCTGGAGGTCATTAGCCTTAGCAAACCCAAGAACAGAAAACCAAACACCGCATGTTCTCACTTATAAGTGGGAGCTGAACAATGAGAACACATGGACACAGAGAGGGGGCAACACACACTGAGGCCTGTTGGGGGTGCGGGGGGAGGGAGAACATCGGGAATAATAGCTAATGCATGCTGGGCTTAATACTTAGGTGATGGGTTGATAGGTGCAGCAAGCCACCATGGCACACATTTACCTATGTAACAAACCTGCACATCCTGCAGATGTACCCTGGAACTTAAAATTCATTCATTAAATAACAGGTACTGGGAGTGGTAGCTCACACCAGTAATCCTGACACCTTGGGAGGCCGAGGCAGAGGAATTACTTGAGGCCAGGAGTTCAAGACCAGCCTGAGCAACATACTCAGACTCGCTGTTTACAAAAAAAAAAAAAAAAGTTGGGCATGGTGATGGACACTTGTAGTCCCAGCCTCTCCGGAGGCTGCAGTGGGAGGATTGCTTGAGCCCAGGAGTTCAAAGCTGCAGTGAGCTATGATCACAGCCTGGACAACACAGCGAGACCCTGTCTCTTAGAAAAAAATCAGTAACATGATATATTGAAAGCATTAACGATAGCCTCCCGTGACACATACTCTTTCACTTTCACTTCATAGCAGCTCTTGTGAAATAGCAATTATTATCCCCATTGGAAAAACTGAGGTTTGTGGAGGTTAAGTGGCAAGCAGGAATTCAACTCTGGGTCTGAGTACAGAGCTCAAGCTGGTTCCTAGTGTGACCCCACAGAGCCTCTGACCTTGCCATCCAGAAAATAAGCTCCTTGAGGGCAGGGAGTTTATAGTGTTAGGAATCTGCCTTGTCCCTCTTTCTGTTGCACCCATGCAAGTGAGCACACAGTAGCCACTACAATTTGTTGACTAATAAGATGAACCTGTACAGTGATTGCCCAACAGAGAATGAGCTCACTTTGACCACCATTTATGCATCCACCACGCAGTTGCATTGGCAGCAGAAATCATTCTATTACTTTCCAAGGCCACTGCATCTTGTGAGTTTATACAGTTCAGTGTGACTCTCCCAGGGACTAATGGTTCCAAAGTGAGGAGATGATCGAAGTTCCAAAACTGGGCTAGGCGGGGTGGCTCATGTTTATAATCCCAGGGCTTTGGGAAGCCAAGGTGAGAGGATCACTTGAGACTAGGAGTCTGAGACCAGCTCGAGTAACTCAGTGAGACCCCATCTCTACAAAAAAAATTTAAAATTAGCTGGGCATGGCATCACACACCTGTAGTCCCAGCTGTTGGGCTACTGGAGAGACTGAGGCAGGGGGATCACTTGAGTCCAGGAGCTGGAGGCTGCAGTGAGCCACAATCATGCCGCTGCACTCCAGCCTGAGCAACAGAGTGAGACTCTACCTCTTGAAAAAATACAAATAAAAGAGTGCCAGATGGGCGTGGTGGCTCACAGCTGTAATCCTAGCACTTTTGGGAGGCTGAGGCAGGAGGGTCACTTGGGTCCAGGAGTTCAAGACCAGCTTGGGAAACACAGGGAGACCCCATCTCTACATAAATACAAAAAAGTCGGGCATATGATGGCACAGCTACTCAGGAGGCTGAGATGGGAGGATTGCTTGAGACTGGGAGGTTGAGGCTGCAGTCATTGGCCCAACTTGGCCTCCCAAAGTGCTGGGATTATAGGCATGAGCCACTGTGCCTAGCCAGCTAGTAGGTTTGACAGCCCAGGTATGTTTCAGTTGCTTTGGCAGCCCAGAGGCAGGAAAAATACCAACCAAACAACAACCCCCAAAATGATAAAGTTGATGATGATGTGGAAGGTGATGATTATGATGGTAATAACTGTGTTGGTCTCTGGCCCTTGAGTCCTTATTTCACCCTAATAATGGCCTCTGCCCTGCATACTTTTAGGCTTTTGTAATCTATAACCTAGAGCATCTCTAGAATAAGAAGCAAAACAAAAAGCAAACAAAAGAACCCCGGGCAAAAGTGAATTTCTTCATGTGCTGCACCCCAAATTTCCTCAACCCCACGTTTCTTCACTGAGCGTGCCAGGACTGTGAGGGACTTGCCCACAGTGGCAAAGAGTGCTGTGTTCCCCAACTCCACTTCTTGGTTTCCTAGGTACAAAGCTGGACTACATGTCCCAGGATTCCCTGCAGTTAGGTGCGACCCTTTGATGACTTCAGGCCAATGGAATGTGTGCAGAAGTGATCCATTGAGTCTCCAGCTGCCTCTAAAAACCCTCCTGAGGGCTGCCTCTAAAAACCTCGGTGGCTCATGCCTGTAATCCCAACACTTTGGGAGGCTGAGGCGGGTAGATCACCTGAGGTCGGGAGTTCAAGACCAGCCTGACCAACATGGAGAAACCCCGTCTCTATTAAAACTACAAAATTAGCCGGGTGTGGTGGCACATGCCTGTAATCCCAGCTACTCAGGAGACTGAGGTAGGAGAATGACTTGAACCCGGGAGACAGAGGTTGCAGTGAGCCGAGATTGTGCTAATGCGCAAATCTCGCCAATGCGCAAAAAACTGTCTAAAAAAGAAAGCAAAAGAAAAGGATGTCGACCGGGTGCAGTGGCTCACGCCTGTAATCCCAGCACTTTCGGAGGCCGAGGCAGGTGGATCACCTGAGGTCAGGACTTTGAGAACAGCCTGACCAACATGGAGAAACCCTGTCTCTACTAAAAGAAAAGGATGTCGACCGGGTGCAGTGGCTCACGCCTGTAATCCCAG